GTATATTTATATATATATTGTTATACGATTAGGGGCCCAACCCTATCATAATCTAGTGTTAAGTGCTTTGATCTGGCCGCGTGGTCTCAAAATTTAAGAACACCAAAATATTGCACGATAAAATGCAGTGAACATATTGAGGCCAGTGCCAGTAGACTAATGTCTTATTTATCGATTATTAAAAGAAACATTGTCTAGCTAGCACAGGTTCTCTTGTTCTCTATACCTTTCGGCAGTATCACAATTATCGATTACATAGTGTTCTACGATAGTGCATCCTAAAATAAAAAAGGAGCGTCGAGGCAGACTCTCATGTGGTAAAAACTTAATCTTGGGTCAGCAATGGTGAACCCTGCCGGGAGGCGAGTTCGACAACACATGATCGTGGAGCGAGTATGCTGATCTCGTTTACTCAAAGGTTACGTATACGGGCCTTGACGAAGGGCAGACAGCCGAGAGGGTTCGCATAATTTAACAGTCAAATAGCCATAATTTCTTCATGGCCCTGCAGTCCCGATGCTGTCAGATTGGCTAGTGGTCTATCCCAGGCTCTATACAGGGGTGTGGCCTAAGATCGGAAAAGGTGAGAAGGCGAATGCCACGGCAGCGTATGCTATCGCAAAGGTGAAGGACCAAGATGATAACCCATCGAAACTTGCAGCGTCTGCAGCTGAGTACATGTTGGCAATGCAGAAGCGTTCTAGTGGTCTATCCCAGGCTCTATACGAGGGGTGTGGCCTAAGACCGGAAAAGGTGAGAAGGCGAATGCCAAGGCAGCGTATGCTATCGCAAAGGTGAAGGACCAAGATGATAGCCCATCGAAACTTGCAGCGTTTGCAGCTGAGTACATGTTGGCAATGCAGAAGCGTTTAACGGCTTACCCGGATAGAACTACAGTTGTGGAGTTAGATGAGCAGCAGGAAACCCAGCCATCTGTGGTAGGTGGGGGCGTGGCCAGGGTAGTTAGTGAGACTAGTGATGAGGTTGTGGAGACGGAACTTGCAGCGTCTGCAGCTGAGTACATGTTGGCAATGCAGAAGCGTTTAACGGCTTACCAGGATATAACTCCAGTAGTGGAGTTAGAAATGAGCCGGAAGAAACCCAGCCATCTGTGGTAGG